AGTGTTTGTCATGTTCTAACCATAAAGGATAGTTTAAAACAGCAACCAACCACCCAGGAGCAAAAATCAGCCTTCAAATTTGAAAGAAATAATGATCTGACATTTATCACGATATGTATCGATATCGAACGATATGAATTTTGTTTATCGTGACAACATTTTTGGCCATATCGGCCAGCTTTAATAGAGTGTAATATGGCTGGAGAGGATTGCGCTGGCGTGCTCAACATTATGAGCCACGTTTGTCATATTTGTTAATATAACACATGCTTAGGGTCTTATGTTGCGCTGTGTAATATGTATTTTTTGGAAGCTGAAGCATTTTAGGTAAACATGGCTGATGAAGAAAGCTGTACCACCTTTCAGGTTTCCAGATGCTTGGGATAACTAGCCTTGCAGTGTCCGCTAAAGGGCGAACTAGGCGATATTTGCGGCTGTTTGAATCAGTGCTTTTTAACTTTGATTCTGGAGACCTGCAGCTCCACGTGGTTTCAATTATTCCATGCCTTAAAACATCTTACTCAGCGCATCAGCTGATTACCAAACCATTAATAAGCTGATCAAGTGTGTTGGGGCAGGAATTCGTTGAACGTGCAGTGCTGTGGGTCGAGGGAAATAACGATAAGGTAGCATAAATAAAGCAAAGACCGGAAAATACCACTGATTACTGCCTGCTACGTGTTACTGCCACTGTGAGAAAGCTGATAGATGGTAATGTTAAATCACTACAAAAGGGAATAAAGTTGACCTGTTATGGTTAGCTGTTCCGTTCTGGTTGTTATGAAGGCCGTTATGTCAGTCTTTTCTTGTTTCTACCCACAGGGTGCCTCCATGTCAGTAACTGAAACAGGTGTTCTATTTCAGCATGTTAGTTTACATAATGCTGCAGCTCCAATCACTGTCTTTACATTGATACATTAAACTAACTTTAGATTTTTAAGCAGTTTAGTTTCATTACAAGGATGGCTAGCCTAGTTAGCCCTAGAGTACACTGCTAGGCTAGCTAACACTAGCAGCTGCAATTGAATTTGTAAATTATGAACCACATCCCTCTAATATATTCACATTTTGTGGCAGCTCTAGCTTAAGCTTGGACATTTGAATCTTGTAAAATACATTCAGGTAACTTTTTTTTATGTTGCAGTTTACTCCTTCAAGTAAACATTTGGACTTAAAGTGATGAATATGGTAGTATTATTTGCATGTTATAATAGTTAAGCTGTTGTTGTACGTAATGATTAGCTAATTATATCAGATGACTTCTAGATCCTAGGTATTGAAAGCTTTGTTCACTTTACCAGATTGACAGTGTTTGACAGTGTTTTTTGTGACGCAGTATGTGAAACACTAAAAAAAAAAACTGTCCTCATTATTTTTTTTTATGCGACACTACTGGGGCTCTTTTCTGTTACGACATATCAAACTTCAGAAAAAACAAAATATCATGACCCATTTCATGCATCATGCAAATATAGTAGTTGTGATATGTTTGCCTTATCGCCCACCCCTATTTTTTATTTGCAGTGTTTTTCAAAGCTAACGGTCTTGAAGGTTTGCTCTTCTACTGAGTTTATTTGTTGTTGTTGAGTTTATTTGTTTGTTGACACACATGCATCATTCATGTGATTTTATTGATTAGGATGTGTGCAGGCAGGTCGTCTCAGGGCACAAAATTACAATTAAGTAGTAAGGCTTGTAATGTGAATGTAGCCTGAGACATGCCCCTCTCATTGTCATATAAGCTTTTAAAGACAATGGGAAGCAGATAAATGATTCCATATTCTAAAATCTTGAAAATAGCAAAAAATTAAAAACATTTAACTTGTATTTTATTGATTGGAGATTTAGATATAAGTAAAACTACCATTTTTTTTTTTAAAGCACTTTTTTAGTTTGTTTTGATTGTCATTTTTGGGGTTTGATAATGGTGTGTATCTGTTCTCGGTCACCCTATTCTTTCGAAGACAGCTTACCTTTCCCAACCTTAACACACACACACACACACATATACACACACACACACACACACACACACACATACACACACACACACACACAGACATACACTATATTGCCAAAAGTATTCACTCACCCATCCAAATCATTGAATTCAGGTGTTCCAATCACTTCCATGGCCGCAGGTGTATAAGACCAAGCACCTAGGCATGTAGACTGCTTCTGCAAACATTTGTGAAAGAATGGGTCGCTCTCAGGAGCTCAGTGAATTCCAGCGTGGTACCGTGATAGGATGCCACCTGTGCAAGTCCAGTCGTGAAATTTCCTCGCTACTAAATATTCCACAGTCAACTGTCAGTGGTATGGTAGCAACTCAGCCACGAAGTGGTAGGCCATGTAAAATGACAGAGTGGGGTCAGCGGATGCTGAGGCGCGTAGTGCACAGAGGTCGCCAACTTTCTGCAGAGCAATCGCTCCAGACCTCCAAACTTCATGTGGCCTTCAGATTAGCTCAAGAACAGTGCGTAGAGAGCTTCATGGAATGGGTTTCCAAGCAGCTGCACCCAAGCCTTACATCACCAAGCGCAATGCAAAGCGTCGAATGCAGTGATGTAAAGCACGCCGTCACTGGACTCTAGAGCAGTGGAGACGTGTTCTCTGGAGTGACGAATCACACTTCTCAGTCTGGCAATCTGATGGACGAGTCAAGGTTTGGCAGTTGCCAGGAGAACGGTACTTGTCTGACTGCATTGTGCCATGTGTAAAGTTTCGTGGAGGGGGGATTATGGTGTGGGGTTGTTTTTCAGGAGTTGGGCTCAGCCCCTTAGTTCCAGTGAAAGGAACTCTTAATGCTTCAGCATACCAAGAGATTTTGGACAATTTCATGCTCCCAACTTTGTAGGAACAGTATGGGGATGGCCCCTTCCTGTTCCAACGTGACTGCGCATCGGTGCACAAAGCAAGGTCCATAAAGACATGGATGAGCGAGTTTGGCGTGGAAGTCCTGACCTCAACCCGATAGAACACCTTTGGAATGAATTAGCGCGGAGGCTGCGAGCCAGGCCTTCTCGTCCAACATCAGTGTCTGACCTCACAAATGCGTTTCTGGAAGAATGGTCAAAAATTCCCATAAACACACTCCTAAACCTTGTGGAAAGCCTTCTTAGAAGAGTGGAAGCTGTTATAGCTGCAAAGGGTGGGCCGACATCATATTAAACCCTATGGATTAAGAATGGGATGTCACTCAAGTTCATATGCGTGTGAAGGCAGACGAGCGAATACTTTTGGCAATATAGTGTACATACATATATATATATATATATATATATATTTTTTTTTTTATATGTGTGTGTGTGTGTGTGTGTGTGTATGTGCGTGTAAATATACAGTGCCGTCCACAAATATTGGCAATTGAGGTATATTCCCATTCATAAATGATGTTTTTAAGTACACCTGAGCAAATACCACCTATGTAACCACAAGTTAATAGGTTTGCCAGAAGAAATCCTCTGCGGTAAAAGACCAACAAAATCAAGGACCTACACTTTGCCAGACTTTACTTGCAGTGGCACTGTTTTCTATGGTCAGATGAAACCAACATAGATGTTTTTGGTAACAAACAACAGAGGTGAGTTTGGCGTAGACACAGATAGCCATGCAGAAAAGTACCTCCTTCCAATGTGAAGTATAGTGATGGATCTGTGGGGCTGTTTTTCTTCCAAAGGCCCTGGACAATTTATTTGGATACATAGTTTCACAGATTCCATCAAGTACCAGCAGAAATAAAACAAAACTTGACTGCCTCAGCCAGAAAGCTTAAACTGAGTCATAGTTCGGATCTTCCAGCAGGACAATGATCACCTCAAAGTACACCTCAAAGTCAACACAAAAATGGTTCACTGACCACAGAATTAAGGTTTTGCTATGGCTATCCCATTCCTCTGACCTAAACCCCATAGAAAACCTGTGGTGTGAGCTGAAGGAGAGTCCACAATGCAGACCTTGAAATCTGAAGGATCTGGAAAGGTTCTGCATGGAGGCATGGTCCCAGATCCTTTGCCATGTGTTCTTCAGTCTCACTAAGCATTATAGGCAAGAGCTGTTATTTTTGCCAAGTATTAAATGAAGGGGTTCCAATAATTGAGGCATACACAGATTAGTGCTTTTAATCATTGTACTTCAAATAAAAGTTAGATTTTTGTTAATATTTTCAAGGAAAGATCAAATGAATAAGCAATAAAGAATGTTTTACAGCCTGTTTTGCTCATGTTTACCAGGGGTGCAAATATTTGTGGCAGGACCTGTTTGTGTGTATGTATGTGTATAGTTACTTCGCAAGTTCTCTACTATCTCGTGAGTTTATCTTCCATCTTACCAAAACGTCATTTGTGTCTTATTAGTTAATGTGTCTATAATTTACTCTACCTAGTATCTTTTTGTCTTTTGTCCTGTGTGGTCATTTTCGCCTGGCCTCAACTCTGTTGACCTCTTTTCATTTAACAGATCATCAAGCATCTCCTTAAAGTCTGTTTCTGCTTCTCTCTGTCATTGCCATAATGGTTGTCTTAGTGGCCTCTTGCTTTTGTGTGTGTGTGTGTGTGTGTGTGTGTGTGTGTGTGTGTGTGTGTGTGTTTTAGTGTTTTAAACTCATTGACATATGTGTCCCTTTAGTTCTGTCTCATTTATATCCTAGTGCTGTATTGTGAGCCATATTTGTCTCCATAACATTTAGGCTCCAGAAACATCTCTGACCCGACCTGGTAGTTCACCATAGTTAGGGAAAGAAGGGTGGAAAGAGCAAGAAAGAGAGAAAGAATGAGAGAGAGAACAGGATGACTGTGCCTTATGTGTGTGTTTGTGTACTGCGTTTCGTAACTCAGACACAGAACAGAACACACTGACAAACTACAAGCACATTTCATGCTACACATTTTGTGATCTTATGATTTGATACATAGCTTGAGTGGTTTTTATAAATCTCTCTCTCTCTGTTTTCTCTCCTTCTCTGTCTCTCTCCCTATATCCCTCCCCTAACCCCTTGTTAGAAACCACACAGAGAGCAAACCGCACAAGTGCCCCCACTGCTCCAAATCGTTTGCCAACTCCAGCTACCTGTCCCAGCACATCCGCATCCACAGCGGGGCCAAGCCGTACACCTGCTCCTACTGCCAGAAAACCTTCAGACAGCTCAGTCACTTACAGCAACACCACAGGTAATGGCCAGGGACAGCTAGATTTAACATCACCACATCTTGCAGTGCTCCACTCCATCTGTATTCCCTCTTTCTCCATATTTTATGGTTATAGCTAGTTTTTTTTTTTGCCACTGATGCTCAGTCAGAAAGTACTAATGGAACTTTTCTGATGAATGGCCTAAAGTTCATTACTGTTTTATTTTCTAGGATCCACACTGGTGATCGGCCATACAAGTGTTCTCATCCTGGTTGTGAGAAAGCCTTCACTCAGCTCTCCAACCTCCAGGTAACTTCTTTTTTTTCTTGTCTTTTTTTTTCTTTCTTTATCAAACTGCTCCAGTCCTTATGAGTCACAGCACTGTAGAGTTTTGCAATGAACATCATTAAACACACTTGAACTTATAAGTTAATTAACAAGGCCTTTTGTAAGTTGAATTCAGTGTTTCAGAGGGACAACTCTTAATCTCTGCAAACTGTAGTGTGCCAGGAACAGGATTCGACACTTTTGATGTAGTATTATGTAAGATTTTGAGGTCAAGGGGAGCACAAAAAGCACAGTTTCTATGAAATCTACAAGTGCAACTTGGAATCCAGAATCAGAGTTTAAATCCCAGCAGTTGCACAGCCGTCCTGACAAGGAATTAGTGGCTCAAAGATCAAGGTGGTAATTTTTTTATTTTATTTTATTTTTTTTTAAACAGTCTCATCGCAGACAGCACAACAAGGACAAGCCGTATAAGTGCCACAACTGTAATCGTGGTTACACGGATGCAGCTAGTTTGGAGGTTCATCTGTCTACACACACAGTCAAACATGCCAAACTCTTCTCTTGCGGCCTCTGCAACCGATCATATACCTCTGTAAGACCTTTTTCTTGTTATGTCTTGCATTAGTTACATGTGTTGTTTTATACAACTTGTGAATCATAGCTAGACGGCAAGTGTAGAAGTTGTCTTTTAATCTTTTGACCCTTTATCTTTATCTAAGTGGAGCTCTTATAGATGCCTTTTTTGTTGTGAAGTTGGGCCAGGCAGTATAATGATAAACCCATGAAAGTTGCACCAACTTGACAGAGGTCTAGGTGGTAGGTTAACTGTATTATCTTGCAGAATGTTACGTATGTAGTGGATTTGTAGCTGATGTGACAATAATTGAGGGAAAAATGAACATTGTTAATTACTTTGGTAGCATTCATACAGTCAGTAGATCATAACATAGGATTAAATAAGGATTAAATAAGTGGTGCAAGCAAGAAGGGTGCATTGGCATTGCATTTATTAATCAATAATAGATTATTGTCTCAAAGCATCGCTAGTACTTGTCATAAATGTGTTTCCTGGTTTCTCCCTGGGCTTTCCCAGCCATACAGTTTCTTAAATGTATTAGCAATGTATTAGCAAGAACACACAGAATAGGAAAATAAATTATCCATTGCCATTGCAAATTATCATCTCCATGTCATAAAGTGGTAATGTTTGCAGACTACCTAATGTTTCTACATCATTTGATTTAAAACCAAAGTGACTTTAAATTACAGACAGGCTTCCTGATTTGAGCTAACTTAATTAAAATTATACTGTGTCGAGAGAATAGCTGTGATGCGCTGCTGGCAGAGAGATAGACTGTAACCTTAAATTAAACTTTTTGCACTCCTTCAATTAAGAGTTAGCATGCAGCTTCAAAAAATGTATTCACAAAATAGAATTTTTAAAATTAATGTTCATACGATAAATGAAAAATCTGTGCAGAGTTACATTTTTCAAATACTAATACTTGTGTAGATCTCTTTCCATGTGCAGTTTTTTTCTTGAACTAGACTGCCGGCCAGGCATGTAATAACATTAGACGGCTGTGGCAGTTGTATAAAGTCAGTATGGTTAAGTATAATATCCAAACACTTCTGCAAGTTTTGCATGTTTTATAATTTTTGTTATTAACCTGGGATCACTAATCCTGTCTGTTGTCCTATTCTAGGGTTTTGTTGGAAAAATTCTGGATATGTTTGTTAAACCTCTGATAACCAGAGCAGTCTATACCATGCTATGCTAACCCTTACAGCAGTTGTTCATCAATATCTGAAAGAAAACTGTTTTTAAGTTTATTAATCCATAAACTATCATAGACATTAACTGTAATGAATGCAAGCTAATTAACTAAACGGTCAGGTTTGCTTGCATCAGTGCACATTGTGCTTCATAGTTATTTGCAGGATGTTCAGATTAAAATTAATTCATTTTCTATGCATTTCCTTTGGTTAATATCTTGGCCATCTGTTTTGTCTGCTGCCATCTTTTCTCCATAGGAGACGTATTTAATGAAACACATGCGGAAACACAACCCTGATCCCCTGACTGTAGCGGCTGCCGTAGCCGCACAGCAGGCCCAGCAGGGTCAGAATCCAGCTCAGGCCCCAGGTAGCGGGGGTGGTCGGGGCAGGGGCCGAGGCAGGAGTACTGGAGCTGCTGCGGCTGCTGCTGCAGCTGGAACAGGGGCCCAGGCACAGAACCAGCCCAATCCCAACCCACCAAGCAGTTACCCTGTCACAGAGGGAGTTCCCTGCCCCTTTGACCTGCACCAGTACAAGACTGTATCAGCTGGAGAGATCCAGTACAAGCCGGTCAGCGTGGCCGACTTATCAGCCCACAAAGACCTTTGCCTCACGGTCTCCACCTCTGCCATCCAAGTGGAGCACATGAACTCATAAAGGAGCAAGGAGAAACAGAAAGGGAGAGTGAGTCAGGGATGGTGAACTATGTATTAAAAAATGAAATGAGAAAAATGAGAGAGAAAACACTGCCTTGGGATGGGAGAACAAACAGAAGCTAAAGCCTGTATATAAACAGAATGAGGCACAATGAGAGAAAAGAGAGACTGGGAGATGAAAGGAGTAGAACATAACAGTCATTCCATGTCAAACCAGCTGAAGAAAAGTTTTCACCCAGATCACAGAGCTTCTTTGGAGCTGCTGCAAATAAAGATAAAAGTGATGTTGAAGTCACTGGAATGTTAATTAGTGAAAATATTTATTGGATGTAAAGAAAAAAGTTTCATTTATTACTACCAAAGTTGGCCATTTTGTTTTCAGAAGTTATTTGACTTTCACTAAAGTACCATAGCTTGACAATAGTTTGGTCAGTGCATAGAAATGTTAAAAAGTCAAAATAACTAAAAACCAGCAGACAGTACCTTGAATTTTTACGCTTATTTAAACAGCATATGGTTTAATTTTCTTATTACTGAAACATTTGTAAGTCTCTGTCATCATTTCCTTTTATTTCTTGTATCTGTTCCTATTTCTGTTTCTGAATTAGTGTTATCATACAAGGTCAGTCTAGCTCTGTCAGGTCTTGTTCATTGGTATAGATATTTTAATAAAAAAATTAATCTTTATATTTAACATCTATTTTAGTTTTAAACGTTTCAGTAATAGGGAAATGCTACAATGTATAGTTTGAAATTGTTGAATTTATGGAATGATTTGCAGGTTTTAGGTGTTCCTTGATTCTTCTTCTTTGCATTCAATGAATGTTTTCACAGAAAAAATGAAAAATGTCGAAACAGTGCTGTTGTCAGCACATTATCTTCTAATGTAGTGGCTCTCAAGATTTGCGACAGATGTCCCAGTGTCCCTGTGTTTTTGAAACTACACATGAACTGTCTGTCTTGATCTGCACAGCAGTGTTCCAGCAAAGGTCTCAGGCATTCATAACGTCATTTGGTCCATCTTTTCCCCAATAACCTCATATTTGTGCTTTTATTCCCTGTTTTTAAATGCCAGTAAATGCACACAACTCAATGTTTCACCTCAACCTTTAGGCAATTATAAGTAAAGTTTAAGTAGAGTATGAGTAAAATTCTCAGTAGTACCTGCTTAATTATTGAATCTCATTGCAGATCAGTAGAATGGATTTGGAGACTGGACTTCGCCAAGGTTTGAGAAAGGTACCAAACTGATATAATGTTATATCCTTAATTAGAAATGGGGAATTTTCCCTGTAACAAAAAGATACAATATCCAATATCTAGTCACTGTATATCCAAGGCAGTGTCTTTATAAGGCCACTTCATAAGGTAACGTGTGCCTAGCTGTTTATGTTGTCTGAATGTTTTGCCAGTAAAAGATGCCGTTATAGCTTGCGTCCATAAAAACAATGATGTTATGACTGCTTTTATGAGCCATTATGTCTCCTTGAGATCTGTTCTGATGCTGATGAGGGGGGCCAGTGACAGAGTTCAAGTACAAGTGTTATCTGTTTGTTACTACCAGTTATGATCTGAGAGAAAGAACGTTCTAGACTGCACTAAGTAACATGGAGGAAGGCAAAATATTGTTTGAGATACAGCACTTAAATGAAACGTATACTTTGTTTTTCATAATTTACATTTTAGTCATGTATCATATTTATGTATTTTTCTATTGTCTGTCACAATTGTGTGTGTTTGTGAATGTGTGTATCAGAGAATATGTGAAGAGATGGTTGAAAGAGCATGTCAGTGGGGGGGGGGAGCTAGGCGAGTTAATGTGTGAAAATACCAGAACTTGTCCAGTGTTCTTTTTTTTTCCCTTTTTTGTCATTGAGTGTAGTCATTACGTATTCCCTCTCCAGAAAACCTTTTGAGGGAGAGAGAGAGTGAACTAATGGTGCAGATTTTGTTACCAGGTACTATTTAGTAGTGTGTTTTTTAACTTTTAATACCAACTATTACTGATTGTTGCTTTTAGTTATGCAATTATCATAATTATCCTTTATTAACGATTGGAAATTACTGTACATACACATAGAGAAGACTTTTTTCATTTAAAGAAAAGGGAAGGAAAGTCTCTCTGCTCCTGTTAAAATGCAATTTAAAAGAAAAAGTATTAAAAAGTAACATTAGAGAACAGAGTACCGAATGATAACGTATTTCTGAGCCATCCAATCACAGACATTTGTACTGCGCTTCCGATTGCAGTAAGCAGACTGTTGATTGGCTGGATCTTCCATGTGTAATCCTTGTTGTATCTCATTACGTGTCTTTGGAAAATAATACAGTTCTCAATATTAATTAATGTCTCCTACTACTCTTGTTAACTACTCTTTATGCTGACTTTGCTGTATAAACCATGCTCATTCATCTAAATAACTGTTTCTCCTTATATGAACAATAAAAAAAAGAAGAGACATTGCATTGGTCATTGAAGACTAGTGCTGTCAGTTTATGGTTAGCACTTAAAGGCAACTGGAAATGTAATTTCTTATGTGATCTCAGTATCCCTGAGATCATAATCAGTTTAGTCCCTTTTACTTGCCTTAAGAAAACAGATTACTGACAATCTCGAGATGTATTCTCATTTTATTATTATATAATTCAGGTATGTAGTGATATACAGTGATAACCAGCCCTCCTCCTGAAGATCTACTTTACAGCACAGTTTAGTTCATGTTCATGTAACTTGCCCCAACCAAAAAACGTACTTGAGTGGAAGTATGTAAAAGTAAAAAGTAAATCCCTTAAAAGATAAATTAAAAGTTTTCTTTACTATGGGGTGTGTTGCAAAGGGTCTAAGGGGCAGTAAAACTAATTAGCATAGTTGTGCACACTTGCATCTTACAATGTTATGAATTTAGTTGGATGTTTCAGTAAAAACAAATTCAAGTACATGGGAACTACAAAAGAAAAATCTCATGGTCTTTAGTATTTGTTATGAGTGCTTTTAAGGTCTAAATGAAAGTGTAAGGGTTAAAAAGTCTGTAATTGAGTACAAGTACTCCAGTAATTCTGAGGCGGCTTAAACAAGTTAGGGTTAAGTTCATGCAAGGAATGATTTGGGTTAGTATAGGCATGGACATGGAAAGTAGTTCCAGAATAAAGAGAAAAATATACTGTAAACTATTATTTTGTTAAAATATATTACACATACACTGCAGTATGGATCAACCAAGATATCAGTATTTATCATGTTTATTTGTGATTTATATATATTTATAACACTCAGTGAAATGGATATATTCAGCACACAATTTTTATCATAGGCTAACATGGATGACTATGCTGCACTTCTATAATGGTGCTTCAAGTGCATTTATTGATTAGGGAGAAACATGTGTTTTATATTTACTTAGACAGCTGAATGTGCTTGGAGGAGAACGCTAACTGCCAGTTCTGTTACGTCAGCTAAAAGAAGCTTCCGCTGGCTAGCACTGCGCTGAGTGATGGGGGGAGAGGGAGGGCCATCCTACACACCAAAGGAGAGCAAGGCCAATTGTGCTCTCTCGGGGTCCCGGCCACAGATGGCTGTAGCATCAGCGGGGATCGAGCTCGCAATCTCTTGATGATAGGGCCAACGTTAGTAATAATTTGCTTGCTAATCATCTGATGTAAAACCTAGCAACAACAAAACACCTACTTCAGATTCAGCAAAATGACAACCATATAGCGGAATATTTATGCTTGCTTGTTGCAAAGTTTACAGCAGCCAGCTCCTGAAAAATTTGGCAATTCCCAAAGTTCATACTTGCAGTTTCATGTACTTGTGTGCATGTTCATCTGTAATGAGAATAAAATGGTTAATAATGAAAAAAAGGCTAAATAAACCAATAAGACATTTACACTAGGTCAAACTGTCTTCTGGTGGGCATTTAAAAATCTCTAGTAGCCTATGTGGATGCATACATTGTCAGCTCAGAGCTTTTTCAGAAAAACAATTTTTCATCTTTTTTATTTCCACCCAAAAATATCATTCACATTTGCTTTTAACATTCTGTATCATTTAAATGATTTGGTTATGAGCAATTAAATAAGTTAAATATTTATCTATAAGCAACACTGCATTTACGTGCACTTCATAATCCTGTCGTAACAGCATACACTGATTTCCTAGATTTCTAGGAGTAACGCCTAGAAAACTGATAGAGAGAGCTGGATTTTAGCTCAGTAATCAACTTGTTGGCGCATGTATATTCTTACTCTGATTTCCTTCGTTTTCTCAGTTCGCACATGTGCGAACACAAGACCACAGTACTGGAAAAAGCAAGTAGCGTTTAACATAGCACCTGCAAGATGGCAACAAAACACTTTTGGAGCAACGCTTAAAACAACTACATGCTTCACAAAATGACGAATTTAAATATTCTTCATCTTCTAGATGATATCATATTTTCTGTGAACGTGACTCAAGGTTTGTGATGTGAAGTGGAATGATGAAGATTTTTATGTTACGTTTACATCACGTGTTATCCTAGCTGGTTGCAAAGCAGAAATCCAAATACTGCCTGACTCATGAAGACGCGGTGATTCCCCATTATCTGATAACTGAAGTGCATGTAAACGCACTGAAATGGATAGTGTAACAAGTGTCACTTTTTTTACATCACTTGAAAGATCACTGCAGTTAGGATTTATTTTTCTTCTAGAATTGTTTTTTTTTCTTTTTTTTAGAATAATGTTTGTTTGTTTTTTTTTTTAAATCTAACTTATGCAATATTAGTTGCTAGCAGCCCATAACAGTCAAATCTGTCATGCAACACTCAGCATTTTTCTAGTTATCCGTTGTTTTACATGATTGTTTGCAAGAATTTAAAACATGGCTTAATGAAGTTGCATCATAATAACATGGTTTCTTTAAAAATAACTTAGTAGAATTAGTCTTTTTTTGTGTTTTTAGTATTTAAGGATCAAGTAATCATATAACTACATAATTTCATTCCAAATATTAACATTAAATAAAATTAATTTCATATGACTTCTTCCTTTTTTTCTACTGGCATACAATGTTGCCTCAAAGCAACATACTCCAAAAGGATGCCGAATACATTTTTTTTGTTTTGTTTTCAATGTTAATATTTAGGATTATTTCATGCAAGAAAACCTGACATATTTTGCTTTCATAATGTGGGCAGTAGAGGGTTAACATTTTGAGAATGTCCGTATACTTATGGCTTGCGCACTTCTAATGACTTCAAAAATAAGTCAAGCTAGTGTACACTTAAGCAAAACCACTAACTGCAAGTGTGCACTTTGGGGCAACCCAATAATTTAATTTATATTGGGCTTCCAAATCAAGTGTAAATTATTTAAAACCATTTGATCAATTAATTATCAATTAATTTCTGAAGTGTAAAAGAAAGTATTGCTAACAAGCACACAGTTGTTTATATAAAAATACATAAAATACTGGCCCATGACAAATAGCTTGACTAGACATCCTGTCTTTGTATTTTTTTAGTTATGAAATCACTACTAAGAACACTTTGCAAAAACTGGCATTGGAACTGGTACAATTACTAATATAAGAGACATAAGAGAGATGTGCCATATTCAGATAATTAGGTACCAAAAATTCTGTATTATTTACCTTTGAATACAAGCGTCATGCAACAGAAGTCTTATTGTTAAGGGGTATCAAGATATATGATACAATCACAATTACAAATTTAAGGACAAATATCGATACAAGGCAATAAGGTAACAGTATGAGCTTATACAGATAGATACAGATAGACTCATGATTGTGAAGAAACAGCATCTTGGTAACTTTGATTAAAGGCTTCATACTTTGGATTTGGTCACTAAACTGCAACTTCCTTAAATAGCTGTTTCACTACTTACACTGCACTGGCATGTTACAATTTACTGAACATTTTGGGCTCAGCAGCAAGGCAAGTTAACAGGCAGTGATGGAGAAGAAAGATATGACAAGTAAGATGAAATAAAGAGGGGAATAACAGGACTGAACACACGATGTGGTAATAGAGAGACATTAGGAAAGACAAAAATTAAGAGGAAAAGATTGACAAATGCGGATCTGAAGGCTGAAGGTGTCAACACAGTGTCGGCGTTTAGCCAGTTCGGGCCACCTGCAGAATAAAGAACATGAGGTTTGATTATGCTCATTTAAATTGCTTACCAACGCAGAGTAGGTGTATAGGATTTGTTTTCCACTCAGTTCTAATGAGTCACTCTCCTTTTACTCACCACCATATTTTAAACCACCACAATGCTCAAGTAGGTTATAAATGTTCTGTGTGCATGTGTTGCATTTTATTCAAGTATTCTCACCTGAGAGATGTTGACTCCTGTCAATTTTTCAATGGTCTCCGGAAGCCTGGTCATGATATCCAGTACTTCACCAGTCAACTTGGCCGCACCCACTTCTGAGCCACCACTTGAAACCATGGTAACCTTATTGGCAGCTGACAGAGGCTTGCTGATCTCCTCTGCCACCTAGAGGACACATTAGATAACAAAGATAACACATTATGAATGTGAAAGCCCAGTGAGTCAATTTTACTATATCCAAATTTAAGACTTTAGATTTTGAGACTTTCAAATGTACACTGGTACCATTGGGAATTGTTTTATTTTCTAGTTTTCTGTTCTTTTTTCTTGTTTTAGTTGATATTCATTGGTAAGCAGTGTTAATGCTAAAGTCTTCTCTTGAGAACTATGTTATCATGGTTTGAACAACAACAGCAAGTTGCCTTTTACAACACTTCCTAAGGACAGGAACAAAACACTCTGTTTACGATATCAAGTCTGTCCTTTTTACAACAGGATTCAAATCTCGGAGAACATCCACTCTGTTCTTTATGACTCTCTTGGGGGTTGGGAGATGTACGGTGTAAAGCTCTAGGTCCAAAAACTGTTCTTGAGACTAGGGTTTGTAGAAGAATGGACAGCACGCTCTCTTCAAATAAAGAACATCTTTTTTTTGTTAACCCTGTTCTCCTGACTCTCTTTCATGGAAAAGACAAAGATTTACAACAATGGTGACAAAGATGGGATTAAGTCAATATCTTTCTCTCACTGCAGCAAAATTGTATGCGAGACCTAAGAATCAGGAGCAATGTTTTATGGTTCTGAGCAAATGTGTAAAGGACCTTGATGGGTATGTTCAGGTGTTCAGACATTGGCACTTTTTTGTAAGAACAGAGCGACAACACTATCAGTGTCCTGCAAGCCAAAGTGGAATTGCTTGAAAAAGAGAAAGATGAATTGCTGAACCATACTAAGACAAGGGAAAAGAAAGTGAATCCCTCCCTTTAGAAAGAGCAGTCTTCTTCCAGTGACAATGAAGGCAGTTCTGATCAAGGTGGTCTTGATCTGACTGTTACAGAAACAGCTACAGTGGTAGTCAAAGGAGGAAAGTTGAAGACAGGGAAGTAAAAGTAACCATTAAGCATGAGCCTCTGAGCGCAGAGCAAATAAACTGCTTGGCAGAAGAATGCATTCAGAATGATAAAGAAAGTCAGTATACTTAGTTTTACTGCATGGGAGCTATTCTGATTGTGCAGCCATTGAGGATGTGATGAGCAGTAAATTTGGCATTTCTCAAAGAACTGATGTCGTGATTTCATAAGTGTGCCAAAGTCTTCCTCATGAAAAAAGTAGTTGGCAAGACAGAATTAAAGTAACGATACCTGCTGTGGGAGCATATTTATAGGCAATTACACAAGATCATGTGGAAAGCACTGTGAATCATCATAAACCACACACACAACCTAAGCTGCTCATCCTCCTGGGTTGCGGGGCTGAAGCCTATCCCACTGCTCACTGGACGGAAGGCAGGAAACATTAGCATCTCAAATTGGCCTGACAGCATGTCTTAGGAAAACCTGAGTACCTGGGGGAAACCCACGCAGACAACATGCAAATTCCACACAGAAAGGACCATGGTCACCCAGCCAGGACCCTTCTTGCTGTGAGACGACAGCATTACCCTCTGCCCCACTATGCCACCCCCAATCATAAAGGGTTTAGGGGTTTAAGGCTGCTGCACTGGGTTCTGTGTAACCTGGCGGTTTATGACTGTATGTCCTCTGAAAGACCATGGTGGCTATTGGTTCAGCTCATGTAGGTGCAATTACTGCCCAGGAAAGATTTAAAATTTATTTTGCTCTCACAGTTTATAAAGTTTTACAATTGCCTTTAAAAAAGTTTGGATCTTTATTCCTTATCATTGATAATTTCAATAATGTTAGTTAGTTACAAACTGGTCTAATGTTTCCCCTGTTTCCCCTAGCTGTTAATGTCTGTGGTAAAACCATAATGAGCAAATAACCTTAACAGTTGAGACTATGTTTAAACATAACTGGAGTCTGTTACAGATGTTTGGTTTTGTTTGTGAAACATAGGTTCATGCTCTGGGTGATGCTGTACTCTCTCCCTTATTGTAACTGTCATATCAAAAACTCCAAAAAACATTTGAAAAGGCCAACTTCTTATATTGTGAACATTTCATGATAAATAGGCAAATAAAAATCATCCAAAATTACTTGACTAAAATATCTTTACATTAATAGACAGTACTGTGAAAAAGTTATAGTCCACAAGTGATTTATTCTATTTCCAGTCAAACTGGAAGCAAATACAAAATATTTATTTTTCAGCATCAGGAAAAAAAGTAGAAAACATATGTTAATCAGCAATTTATACAAACACCTGAACAACTAAATACCATCAGCTTCTACGTGTGTACAAATTTTCTCTGTTTTTGTCCTTTTCTGGTCTCTGTAATGACATCTTGACCACTACACATCCTTTCAGACTTACAGTGCTTGTCTTTCACAATTTTTCAGATCTTTTTCTTCTATCTCTCAAAGATGAAAGTACTGTCTGATTATAACAGTTTTGATGGGCTACCAGGCCTTGCATGGTTGTTAAGAGTCTATTTTCTCTCCATCTTTTAATCATTTTTACTACAGTTTTGGAAACTCCTGTGTACTTATTTTCCTTTGACTTTCCTCCATGTTTATGCAGATGCTATTTAAAGTTATATCTCATCTCCTCAGGAATATCTCCTGTAAAATTAATAACTTGTACTTAATGACCATTTTGACATAACTTTCATTGCAAATTAAATACATTAATAGTAGACCTTTTTCCTGTAGGTTTTGTTACTACAGCATCGATTTGCACACATACACACAGTCTTACCTGTGGCAGTTTTTCCAATAGCATATCCACCATGGCTCCCTCCTTATACTGCTGGAAGGCTTCAGCCTTCTTTGCCATCTGCTCTGCCTCGGCACGCCCTTTAGCCTCCACAGCAAATGCCTCAGCCTCTCCTCTCACCTGAAGGGAGAAACTTGTAACTCACTGTATTTATTTAATACAAGATATCACAAATGAACATGCATGCAGTACATGTCAATTATACATACTATACTACTATATTTTAAATATACCATAAATGCTGTATTTTGATGTAGTGAAACCAATACCATGAAATTTAAATCAAGACTAAGTTTAATACTTGTCTGGAACACCAGCCTTGAGACTTTTAATCTTTGTTTCTAAGTGATGCTGGCCAGCTGAGTGTAGCTTTAAAAGGCTACTGTTTACTCACTCTAATGGACTCTGCCTCAGCCTCTGCCTCCATGATGAGCTGAAGACTGTATTTGTCATAAAAAAAGAGAGACACAGGAGAATGAGAGAGCGCACAAAAAAATAATAAAACAGCTGCCATCACTTTTTGTGGTGCTCTTGGTGTTACTGACCATTACTGAAATCTAAGTAGTTATTGGTCACCTAAAGACCGTAGCTACTTAGACTTACCGTTCGGCTTCTGCCAGCTTCTCCAGGCGGTATCTCTCAGCCTCGGCTGGTTTCTTGACCTTGGCCTCCAGCTCCTTCTCTCTGCGTGTGATCTCCTGCTCCTGAAGGGTGATCTGCTGGGTACGCTCCACCACCTGCACTTGCATTTTCTCTTCCTCAATACGCTGCTTTGTCTTAGCCACCTAGAACAAACAACAGAAAGTAGTTGAAGAGATGCATTAGTTTGTGCAAAAGGCCAGCCAAGAATTGTTTAAACCTATTTATCTGAACAGTAAACACTATATAACATTAAAATAAATACAAATAAACATAAATACAGTATAATGTAATAGGATTTTTGTTGTTGTTTTTGAAAAAGTTTTAATATCTTGGGTTACTAATAAAGAAGAGCATAGGTTTTGTTCTTGGTGCATTCCAGTCACTGCACAGATTTGTAAAATTCCATCAGCAGCATACCTGGTTTACTTTAATAAAGAACTGATTAAATTAACTAGGTAGTTGATGGCAACTGTAAATACTGGACATCCTTGAGGAGAGGTTTGGAAATGGTTAAGCTAACACAGACACCCACCAAATCACAATTTTTTGATTATTTGTACTCATTCTAATGTTCTTGTTTTTTTTCAAAAAAAAAAATTCTTACTGCCTATATAAATAAGACTTTTAGACAGTGCACAGTACATATGGGGCCAGTTTCCCAGACCCAGATTAAGCCTAAACCTAGACTACAAAGATGCTAATGTTTTTCTAGCAATAACTAATAACATTTAAACAAAAGCTTCAAACATTTTGCCTTGTTGGTCATCCCTGCTACAGTAACCAGTATAGACCAGCATAGCTGATCACAAGCAAAAGCAGCACATGCTGTGTTTTGGATACTGACATGCTCGTCAACCAGCATTACTATGCTGAGTGACCCGCTATACCAGCACCAGACCAGCATGGAACACATGAGAAAGTTCATATGGCTTCTTAATCGACAGGTGAATTCTTCAAATTCACACTTCAAATGTCATAGTTACACCCTGGGCTATTTCCAGGTTATTAGTCACTTAAATAATCAGAACTACAGCACTGAACTTAGCTATTCAATTCTGGGGAGAAAAGATCTGTTTCTGATATTTTTCCCCAATGCAAGATTTAACTTCAATCACTGCATTATGTATCCTATTTGTTACAGAAGACTTAGCCGTAAACCATGGACTTAGTGAATGTGATTAGGATACAAACAGACATGCTAGCCCAAGGACACACTATGTTACCGCAGGAACAATGAGAGCAAGGACAACATGGTTGGCAACTGCAACAACAGCTGGAGCCAGACCATGCCACTCTAAACAGGATACCAAGCAAGGACTTAGAAAAGAATACTCAGAGACGAAGCAAAGGTGAAAAGTGGCCTTTTAATTGCACAAAACTTAAAACAAAACGCCACACTAGAACTGAAAGTAACAACTACATTTCAATGAGCTTCTAACAACTCTAAGGGTTCTCTCTCTCTTTCTTTGGTTCTCTACCATTAGCCCTCCTCCTGTGTGCTACAGAAAGAGTTGTTCTATAAACTGTACATACTCCTTCCCTGAGTTGCCTGAGATAAAAGCAGCATCAGAAAATGGACAAGGCAATTAACGGAATTCAGCAGCACCAGTCATCTTATGGACATTTGTCCATGTTGATCACTGCTAAGCCTCCTTATCCTCTGGCATCAGTCACCACTGTTCCTCATTCTGCTTCTTGTGTCTTAAAGGCAGTCATCAATTTTTGGTGGATATTTACTGAAGCTAACTGTTTTGAAACTCAGTCAAACAAGTACAGCCCCTTCCCTCCAAACATCAACCCTAAACATATGCGCAAACACAACCTGGCTCAGCCACAGAGACCAGATGCCAAAATGTGAGGAGAAATCCAGTGGCATAAATGGCTTTTCACACTCTTGCATTTTCTACTTCAGGAGCTCAGATTCCAACAATGCTTTCTGTGTCTCAGGTGTACCCATCTTTCTCAGACAGTTTATGCCCAATTACAGCAGCTTTAGTCTTGCTGGCCAACCAGTTCCTGGCTCCTGCAGCCTTCATCATTTACCTAGCTTCCAACATGTCTTCCTGACCTCTGATGTGATCTTTCTGGTTGCTGTGTTTTGCTTTCCATGAACAAAGCCTCTGTTGCCTTCTCATGAATTTAGCCTGTGGTGAGTTTCTAAACATTACCTCACAGGTCCCTGGCTCACTGATCATTGCCCCTCAGACTCTGGGTTCTTCCCAGTCTCCCCAGAGGTTCTAGTGTTTCCCATATTTTCAACAACCTAGTCAGCCTGTGTTCACTGGCTAAGTATGGCTACATGTACCCGAAGTCCCATTGTGAACTTCGACCAGGATTATTGGGGGAAAACACTATTACACATATGCGCATATTTGCTATATCCCTTGGCTCCTAAGCAGGGTATGGCATTAGTTGGAACCTAACCAATTCTTTTTCATTGTGAGTGTGTACATGTGATTTCTCAAGTGTATTTTTTCCCTTTTGTTCTACTTGATGTAGTATTTACCTGAAGCTGGTAAGCCATTTCAGATTCTGCTTTTTTTGTGTTGACCTCAATGTCATAGGCAGCTTTCTTCAGCTCAAAGTCTCTCTGAGCCTTAGCCATCTGTATCTCATTCATGTACTGAGCAGACACCTTCTCCTGCAATGCATGAGCCTCCTACAGAAAGTTACGCATGGAAAAAAGAAGGAGAGTTTGAAGGTTTAGGGCAGTTTCAGGCTAGATTTACACAAACTTTTACTGAGTAGCTACCATTGCTAACACTGCTTGTAGAGAGTAGGCTAGCAACATTTATGAAAGCTCAGAAACAATGTCTGTCCAATGGCATTAACCCAGTGGGGCAACTGAATATTTAACTATCCACTGAGCATAAGGAGCAGGTATTATTTGTGATGCATTGTTTCCAAAAGTACACAGCTATGTCTTCTAATTAGTAAAACAGAAGAACTATTTTACGGTGCACCCATTGCTGACACAGGTGCTCACACTTGCACACATATAGCTTGTGAAATCTCCACAGAAAACTCCCTTTTAATACCCTTGATATTAGAAGAAACATGGGTTGAACAGGTGTCTGAAAACCTTTCAAAATAAATTGCGTATGTAGTGAGGGAGTACTACAATGCAGGCCAATAAATGGCTCAACCAAGAACAAAGGAAAGGCTTTACAAGCGATTAAAAATGGGAGAAAAGAGAGAGAGGCTGAATTGTCTCACCCTGATAACAGCGTCTCTTTTGTTTAAAGCCTCTCCAATACGGGCATCCTTCTGCACCTGAGCTGTACGAGCTTTTCCCAGAGAGTGCAGGTAATCCTGACAGAGGAGAGAATAAACAGTCAAAAAACTGCAATATTTACTTGAAAAGCTACATGTAACGTAAAGATATGTGTACACACCTGATCATCGTGAACGTCTTTGAGCGTGTAGCTGACCACACTGATGCCCATGTTGACAAGGTCAGACGAGGCCACCTTGAACACTTGCTCGGAAAACTTCTTACGATCTTTATAGATTTCCTTCAGAGCAGATACATGCCAGAGGTGACTTCAGTTTCTTAGATCGTTTTTCTTACAGATTTCAGTGGGCTAAAGGACAATCAACAGTAACTGATACTTTATAAAAATTTGTGTTTCCTACCTCCACAGTCAAATGGGCAATGATAGCTCGCTGATGGCCCTCCAGAGTTTCCAGGGCGATCTGTGCAATCTCTGCTTCAGATTTCCCCATGAACATCTGACATGCTGCTGCTAACATCTGCTTATTTTGCCCTTGAATCTTCATCTGGGGAAAAAACAACACTGTGGTTAACAACATTACAGTTGATGTCACTTTATAAAAATGGTAAAGGAAAATATTTTACGTTAGCAGCAACACAGTTTAATGGTTTACTGTCACATGTAGGCAGAAATAGGTATCATTGCTGATATACTGTATTTGAAATATGTTTCCAAAAGATGAAAGTGTTTTGCAATTTTTTTTGAGTCTGGAAAAAATAAAAAAGCATGTATTTTGACCCATGGCCCATTTCTTATTCAGGTGATTTTAGACCTACTAATCTCTTGTCGCGGTATAAGAATATTTTTGCATTTTCAAAATACAAAACTGTGTATTTTATGTGGATATACAGTGACATCCAAAAGTCTGATATCACTTGGAAAATATAGGATTATTTTCATTCAATCCTGCAAATAAACAACAGAAAGATTTAGAATTGTGAAAAGTTTTAAGTAAAACAAGTAAAAGGATGAAAAGTTGTTTAAGATTCTGTATTATTTCTAGTTCACTACTCAAATTTACGCCTGTTTGTGACACTGATCATGTTAAGGCCTTTGTACAAAAAGTTCCGATTTTTTTAGCCTTATTCCTTCCCTTGAAATTTGTGTTCAAATGACTTTCAGGTGGATTTGATCTACTCATCAAAGGCAGCTCCAGTGCATGCTATCATTCTATACCAATCTACAGAAATTCTTAAATTCATGTTAAAGGTGCAACAGAATGCTTTTATGAATGTATGTAAGCTACATCATCATACTATTTAATTATCTATGCTAGTTACTTGGAGCTTGCTAGTAGCTAACATTACCTATACTAGCCACCTGCTTTCAATCTCTGCAGGTTGTGACTGGGGTTGTGATACTAATAAAGTTGGAGCTGCCCTTCTCTTCAGTGTCAAACGCTGCTCAATTCTATCCACCTGCTTTCAATCTCGACAACAGCACAAATTAAGTAAAGGTTTTTTAGCTCACTACAAAACCTTCAATTTAAGATGATCTACCTTCAACTGTCAAAAAGTGGATAAAATCGCACAGTATGGCTAGCTACATGCAGGTTGTGATTGGGGTTGTGATACTAATAAAGTTGGAGCTGCCCTTCTCTTCAGTGTCAAACGCTGCTCAATATTATCCAAGGTTTGAGAAACTTTCTGGAGTGAATCATGCAGAGCAAACTAATGACTTTGAAGTAAAGTTGTCCAGGATCTTGTTAAAGATGTGGGAGCTGAAGTTGGCTTCCTATTCACGAGCTTCTTAATTGAATGTTCTGTTCCACCTTAAATGCTGCAATTTGTACAGGTGCCAGAATGTAACTGTAACACCACTTAAGGTGAATAGGAAGGGTATGAAAAGTGTATGAAAAGTGCTGACATCCCTTCCAAACCTGGACATTTCTGTCCATAGTCTGCCATTTTCATTGGTGTTGCTCTGTTGTTGGGCTAGAACAAGGGCTGGTATATGTAAATTGTGGAGGAGTAAATATCAATGCGTTAAAACTGTTATGTAACAGTTTAGGATTTTGGAATTGGCCCATCTTACCACCCTCTTTTACAAATGCAGGATTTGCATTTGAAAAAGGAAACAAAACTGTTTGAGATTCATGCCATGTCAGGTCCATGTACCAAACTCCCTTTTCAACTATGCCAATGTAAGTACAGTTTCCATTCTATGGCACCTTTAAAATTTCTAAGATTCTACTGTTAACTCAGACTGTTATGCAGATTAAAAAATAAGTGGTTTCAGACTTTTGGTCCCGAGTGTACTTTTGGTAAAGTACTTCATAGTTCATTTTCATACATTATGGTTGGGGCATTTTGTATTTTAGATACAGTATCCCTGCACGTAGAAAGAGAAAAAAGACACCTGAGCAATGCCAGTAACAGAGATAGGCACTCCATGACGCGTGTAGACTTTGTCACTCTTCACATTCAGAGTTAAAGTGTTGAGAGAGATCCTGAGAAAGAATACAAATGAATGAACTGTCTCGTTTAAAATACACAAAACACACAAAAAGACGGCTAATACCTCTGGATCTGTTGGATACAGGGAAATACAAACACTCTGCCTCCAGATATCATCAGTGGAGGAGAGCGGCAGAATCCTAAAAGGAAAAGAATATGAAAGCACATATCTCCGCAAATTAATCTGAAGATATTCTTAACAGCCACGTAATAGTATGCAAAGTAATAACATATATCTCTATGAACTGTATTTCTCTGATACAAAAACACATATATAACATAATATTTGCTAATAATTTGCATTTGTCATCACCTGATACCACCATAGCCTCATTTGGACCACAAGTGTAGAACATCTTCACACTTAGAGAAGAAAAAGAAAAATCCATTAAAGCAGTGGTTCAGTCAAAAATCAAATATATATCTTTTTCCACTTCTTCCAAATGTTCCAAAAATTGCTACAAGGCTAATGTAGCTAACACATAATGCAAGCTTAGAGTTACCAATTAACCTTGTGCAAACTACATGCCTTAATCATCACACACTTGCCTCAAACTGTGTAAAGCTGTTAAGTAATCTCAAATAGAATCACTTACGTTGTTCTTGATACTGTATAACACTAAAAAATAGCTAAACGTACATTGTACACCATAAAACAATAGAAATAGGCTTTCTTAAAGCCTGAATACTGACCATTTCTACAGACTGTATTTATCATACAGTGTCTTTAAATACAACAGCTTGTTTTGAATTCATTGTCATTAATTATTGAAAATCAAAGTATTCATATATATTTGGTTTTTTGGCCTACAATAGTTTAGCCCTGCCCATTCATAAAGAAATTATAAATTGTGTTGTTATAAGGAGTGTTGTTTTTTGAATGAAGCCTTATACATGGCATGGGCTTAGAAGAGATGTCATTTCCATATACCAGTATAAAAAAAGGGTGTTTAACGCTAAGGCATAAAGAGAGATAGGAAAATGATAATGTAAAATGATTTACAACCCTATTTCCAAAAAAGGTTTGGTCGCTGTGCAAAATGTAAATAGAAACAAATTGTTTTAACCCTATATTTAATTGAAAAAAATATAAAGTCATCACAGCAAATGGTAAAACAGATTTTTTTTGAAAAATATATGCCCATTTTGAATTTGATGCCAGCAACACAATTAAAAAAAAGTTTGAACAGGGATATGTTTCCCACTGTGTTACATCAACACTTCTTTTAACAACACTCTGTAAGCATTTGGGAACTGAGAAGACCAATAGCTGTAGTTTTGAAAGTGAAATGCTTTCCCATTCTAGCTTGATAGAGTATTTCAGCTGCTCAACAATTCAGTCATATTTTTCATTTCATAACGTGCCAAATGTTTTGAGTGACAGGTCTGGACTGCAGGCAAGCCAGTTTAGCACCTGGACTCTTTTACTAAGGAGCCATGCTGTTGTAATATGTGCAAATTGTGGTTTGGCATTTTCTTGCTGAAATAAGGAAGGCCTTACCTGAAAAAGACTGAATAGCAGTATATGTTGCTCCAATACCTATATATAGTTCAGCATTAATGGTGCCTTTTGAACTAATGCAACCCAATCATCATGGAAGCTGGCTTTCGTCGCTGATAACAAGCCGGATGGTCCCTTTCCTCTTTAGAGGACACAGCATCCATTATTTCCAAAAAGAATTTAAATTTTTGATTTTTCAGACCATAGGATACTTTTCCACTTTGCCTCAGTCCATCATAAATGACCTTGGGCCCAAAGAAGATGGCAGTGTTTCTGGATCCTGTTTATATATGGTTTCTTCTTTGCATGGTAGAGTTTTAACTTGCATTTGTGGATGCAGCAACATACTTTGTTTACAGGCAATTGTTTTCAGACGTGTCCCTGAGCCCATGCAGTGATTTCCACTAAAGAATTGTTTCTGCTTTTAATGCAGTGCCTCTGAGGGCCCAAAAATCACGACCATTCAATATTGGTTTTCGGCCTTGTCCCTTGCATACATTTTATACCCATTATTTTACACCCAATAAATGAATGAACCACATAGATGTAAGACATTTTTCTAAAATAATCTAATGTAACGCTAAAAACAATATATCATATTTATAACAATGACAACAACAACTATAATAAAACTATATACTTGACGCCCCTTGTGGCTCAGGTGTCCTAAGCAATTTCTACCACTTATAGCAAGAAATCGAATTGAGGGACTGATCAGAAACTGATCAGGTTTTCCCAGAGCCTGCCCTATATGCTGCACAGGGCCCTGCAAATTATGCAAGGCAAGTTTATTTATACAGCACCTTTCATGACAGTTGTTTTTTTTAGCATTACATAACTTTACTAGTCTTTTCTTGCCCCTGTCCCAACTTTTTTTGAAACGTTTTGCTGGCATCAAATTCAAAATTGGCAATTTTTCAAAAAACAATAACATTTTTTAGTTTCAACATTTGAAATGGTGTTTTTGAACCATTTTCACACATTCATTAAATATAAGGTTTAAATGACTCACTAATCATTGCATTCTGTTTTTTATTTAGTCATCAAAAGTGGACCTGAGAAAAAAACATAAAAATATGGACTGTTTAATGCTTCCCTGCTCCCAACTGTTTAGCCAGTTAATCTCTAATTAGCAAGCTATTCCTGATTTCATCTGATTCAATTGGGTGTGTTAGAGCAGGAGAAACACTGACTATGCAGGGGCAGTGGTACTCCAGGACCAGGACAGAAAACCACTGTGTTAAATCCCACTTTAATCACTTATTTAGGCTACTGGTTTCTCAAATATTACTTAAAAATACAAAAATAATTTTTAAAAATATCATGTTCAGTTGAGCATCTGGCAAATTTTAGACCATGTTTAGAATATATCAAATAAATTACATTTTGATGGACTTCCTAAAATAGTAGGTACAGCATATTTACTACTTGTCTAAAGACTACTATGCCATAGCATCAAATCCATCAAATTAATTTTGACTGAGCAAGTTGTTTATCACAGACAGTAACCTTGGTAATCAGTTAACATCATTCAGTCACATTCATGGAAATGCACTCGCTGCATTCTACTGACGCACGCCGTTATCTTTACGTGCCCTAGTCATTACTAAACTAGCATCGCCTATACATGCAGATTGTGCCCGGCATTAATATCTGGGAACATTTCAATCTCACGCTGGCTTAATATCACGCCATTTTCATGAGCTTAAACAGACGAATAACAAAAAATGCGTTTTGCGCAGTAACAGCCCTCTTAATAAGACAACTGAATCTACACTACACGATATCCTGTTCCAGCTAACGCATGGAAAATCACGCCCAGTAGACTATCGCATTCTGAGTGGTTTCAATATTACACGATATTAAAATAGCCTGACTTTGCGTGATATGTACTAGCCTACACTTGAAAAAAACTACAGCTAAATGTATTTCTTTAAAGCGAGGTATAGCCTGGGGAGTGAACAACATGAACCCAATGTTTACATTTTTTAACGCGTCACAGCGACGTGTCTTTCAGACTTAAGTAACCCAAGAAAAACGGAATCTGCTCACCGAGAGCTGAAATATCCGAAATATCTTCCTCGAATAAATGTTATAAAGACGGTTCTTCAACAGAATGGCAGTTTTCCCTGCTTTATCAGGTCGATGTGCAGTAGTCGGGGTCCTGTAAATCTAAATGACTGGTGGGTAGGCCTATCTATCGTTTCTTTTAGTCTGATCTGAGACCAGTCTTGTAGCTTCTGTTATGCTGGTTAATCTTAGGATTTGAACTGGACGCTGGTCCTGGATTACAGTTTAAACGGACCTTGCTATCTGGGGCGGGATAATGGCGTTTTCCTGGCAACACCACACCCCTCCCATCAAACGGCCGCCATCAGATGGCGGTGAAATGTAATATAGCGGTTCGTTTAGAAGGCTACAGTGTACAAAAATAATTGAAATAGAAAGATGGGAGGGATGTCACGCACGTAGTTTGGCAATGCACAACCAGATTCATCCTCAAGAAGTCTTTCTTTCGGACCTCTTTCCGAAGTGGCTTTCTTTTTGAAACAGGACGGCATCGAACGAGCACGACATTAACGATTATTTGATTTAAGATTGCTGAAAATAAGAAAACCTGCATGCATGCGGACTGTCAATGGTATGGTTTACGCATTACCCGCCCTGACCTCCCTGGGGCCCTAAGCAACATTCTACAAAGGGGCCCTTCTACCTGACCCGTGATCCTTGTAAACTAACTATCTGCAATTGCCACACAGTCACACCTGACACCCCAGTGCTCCCACCTTTCTCCATCCTTTGAAACAGTTTGCTCTATCTGTTGGAATAAGTGGACCCATGCAGAATATAATCTTTTTTATTCTTATATAAAAAACAATATTTATCAATCAATCAGTATTTGCTCCTCTACTGACAAACTTAAGCATAGCACGGGAAAAATTATAGATAGTACTGTTATTAGTTTTATCAGGGCTGCATCTGGGCTATTCAAGCTGGCACCACCAAATTTCCTTTTAAACATTTTCACAAACAAAATACTATTTATACTCTGCCTTGGCTGAATACGTGATGGTTATTATTTACTGAGAGATGTGCATCCTTCCTGTTGTCCAATATGCAAAGGAATCAACATTTTAAATTCAATATTTAATACATAGTCAATATCAATCCACTGCTCTCCGTTTTGCATTATTCCAGATTTGTAATTAAACATTGACTGAGATATTAGATAATTATTGTCTTGTTTCTAAATGATGTGCGCCTATGAGGAGTTTGCCATCACACCCATGTTGTCTGGACTGGTTTGGTCTCCACAGAGGCTGCTGCTGCTGCAAGTTTCATTTTGTGCATGCGTGACACGGTTAAACACCGCTGGTGTTCATCAAATGTAGCATATCATTTTGTATTTGTTAAATGTTACTTTTATTTGCTTACATCAAACTTGGAGAGATGAAGTTCACTTCATCCTCTCATTGTAGGTGTAAATAATAAGCAGCTTTGAGGCCCCTTTTTACATAGATGGCACAAAACCAAGCTTCAGACCCACAAAGAAATCTTCGATAGGCTGCATGACTACAACACAGAAATATGCAAAGCTAGACAATCTTTCTTCTCCTGCATTATCATCAATAATATTAACAAAAGAAAAATACTCTTCGCTGTGGTTGACAGACTAATAAAATCACCTATGGTCCCTGAATTTGTATCAACTGAGAGATGATTAATAATGAAATTTTTGATCAATACATTGAGTCATCTCAAATCATCTACTTGCAGTCTTGACACATTACCAACCCAATTTTACAGAATGTCTTTCACTCAGCAGTGGATATACTTCAGACAGTAAACACCTTACTCATGTCGGGCCATCTTCCTAACAAATGAAAGACTGAATTTGTGAAGCCATTCTTAAAAAAGGAAAATCTAGAAGCAACTCTATTGAGTAATTACAGACTGATCTCAAATCTACCTTTGATTGGAAAAATCATTGAGAAAATCATCTTCAAGCAACTTACTTGCTTTTTTTTATCCTTAATCAACTGTTTGGACAAATTTTAGTCTGGATTTTATCTTAATCATAGTACCAAGACTGATCTAATTAAGATTATTGATGATATTTGTTTAAAAACAGACTCTGGAAAAATATCTGTTCTATTACTGCTTGATCTAAGCACTGTGTAGGAGCTACATTGATGTGGTTTATTATTGAAAATGTGATGCAATGATTTAGATCTGACACTGGGTGGCGAGGGCGAGCACAGGTGCATATATGGTGGTACCATAGAAGCATAGGTTAGCACCAGGGGTACCACACAGGTTTTTACCAGCAGTTAAGAAGAAATGCAATGGAAACCTTGTTTCTTGCTCAAACTGTGGAATAAACCTTGTAAATGACAATAAACCTCTGGACATTTTTTCAGTTTCTGCGTAAGCCTATGGTCTACGGTGCTCCAAGTGGTTTTGGTATGCAAGTTTGCCACGACTAACAAAAATAAAAACCTGTTGCCCAAAGTGAAGACCTTCTTTTTAGAACAAAGGATATCGCTGGATTGTACAGACTGATGCACAAAAAGGCCTTTGATAGTGAATTTTTTGCCTTTTTTGTCTTTTTGAACCTCGAAAGAAGAGGTAGCAACAGCAACGAGGAAAGCCAAAACCGGCCAAACAAACCAGAAGCGACAAACCCTGCCAGACAAGCGTCAAGGCTCACTTGAGAACACCGGTAGGTCTAAGTGTTGACCGAAACGTTGAAAGTGAAGTTGTTGGAAATTGTCAACATCATTGGTGATGATGTTCAGCCTGAGGACCGTGTCTCAAGAGGAACAATTAAAAAGAGAAAAAGAGCAACTAGCTCTGGAAACACATATGGCTGCTATGATGGCAAAAATCAGTGTGCTTGAAAATGGAGCATCACGAAATGGTTCAAGAGTATCAGATGGTGTGCAATCGTATTTTGAAAAAGCAAAAGGTGCAACCTTGGTCAGTTCTCAACCTGCAAAGCTCAATCCTAATGCAACTGCCTATGTACCTATGCAATGGATAAGACACAAAAGGTTGCTGATGGAGATGTTGCAAGTGTTCTTCCTCCAGTTGTTCATCCAAAAGATAGAACCACAACATCTGGAATGCAATCTAAAGTTCAAATTCAAACTACTCATTCAATGTATCCTGTACAAGGAACAACTTCTGTACAACCACAAGTCTTGAGTCATGGTGGACAAACTGAAATTGCATGTTAATATAATGCAAAAGCAAAATGAAATGACTTCCCTGCTGGTTCAACAGACTTTGTCATCTGCACTTCCACCAAGAGAAATATCAATTTATAACAGAGATCCAATACATTACCAAGCCTTCATTAAAGCATTTGAAAATGGGATAGAAAAAAGGACAACTGACTTAACTGACTGCTTGTACTTTCAGGGTCAACCAAAAGAAATTGTGCAGAATTGCCAACATCTTCCTCCACATCAAGGCTATGAAAGAGCAAAGAATCTTTTAAAAGAACATTTTAGAAATTAATTGAAAATTGCTTCAGCATATGTGGACAAGGCACTAAATTGGACACCTATTAAAGGTGAAGATACTGCAGCTTTGGAAGCTTTTTCCCTCTTTCTTAGAGGGCGTTGCAATAGGTTTGAACAGGTGCAGAACAGGTTTCATATATGAAAGAGTTGGATTTACCAACAAATATGAGAAGCATGGTTTTAAAATTGCCTTATAAATTAAGAGAAAAGTGGAGGACCACGGCTTATGAGCTTCAACAGCATTGTGGTCAGAGAGCGCTATTTTCTGACCTGGTGTGCTTCATTGAAAAACAAGTGAAGATACTCACTGATCCACTGTTTGGTAATATTCTTAATGATCAACCAATGTTGAATAAAGGCTTAGTTGCAAACCAGACAAAGAAAAAGAGACCCAAGAGAAGCAGCTACGCTACAACTGTTGCCACTATAAAAGAAAGGGCAATTACAGGCCAAACAGACAAAATATTAAAATGTGCATCATCCACATCTCAACATCATTGTTTGTTTTGCAATGGAAGCAACCATACCCTCAAGATGTGCTCACAGTTTTAAGAGTAGAAATCATAGGGACAAGATGGACTTTATTAAGGCAACTGGAATTTGCTTTGGCTGCTTGAGAGTGGGCCACACAAGCAAAGACTGTAAGAGTCGTTTGGATTGCAGCGTGTGCAACCAAAAGCATCCTGGAGTCCTTCATATCGAAAGACATGACAAAGGAGTATCCCAGAAACCCACAGATCAATTTGAGAAGTCCTCTAAGAGTGTGGTTGTTGCATCACCACAAACATGTGGCCATACTGGGGCCGGTCATGAAGAAGATTGTGTCTTCTCCATTGTTCCATTGTTAAAGTGAAAAGTCAGAAATCTAGTCAAGTCAAGTCAAGTCAAGTCAAGTCAGCTTTATTGTCAATACTACAATATGTACAGGACATATAGAGTATTGAAATTGCATTACTCTCAGACCCCATGTGTAGCAATAACATTAAATAGACAGTAAACAGTAAAAGTGTGAATTTAAATAGACACTAAAAAACACTAAACACTAATCGTAAAAATAAATACTAATTGTAGAAAAATAGAATAATAAAAAATAATATAAATATAGAAGGTCCTGAAATTAACACTAAAGTGACATAAGGCACATACAGATTAAGGTCTGTGGGTATCTCCACTGCAGCACCGTTGATGGTCAGAGGAGCATGCTGGGTGCACGTTCTCCTGAAGTCCACAACAATCTCCTTCGTCTTCTCAATGTTCAGCTGGAGATTGTTGTGTCTACACCACAAAGCCAGGTGGCTCACCTCGCTCCTGTAGTTTGTCTCATCGTTGTTGCTGATGAGACCCACCACAGTCGTGTCGTCCGCGAACTTGATGTAGAGGTTGGAGCTGTGCAACGGTGTGCATTCGTGGGACATCAGAGTGAATAGGAGGGGGCTCAGTACACATCCTTGGGGGGCCCCCATGTTCAGTGTGATGGTGCGGGATGTGTTGTTGCCAGCCCGTACTGCCTGTGGTCTCCCAGTCAGGAAGTCTAACAGCCAGTTGCGCAGTGAAGTGTTCAGCCCCAGCCTGTCCAGTTTGAGAATGAGCTGCTGGGGATGATGGTGTTAAATGCAGAGCTGAAATCTATGAATAGCATTCTGACATAAGAGTCTTTTTTGTCCAGATGTGTGAGGGCTGAGTGGAGGGCGGTGGAGATGGCATCATCAACCGAGCGATTAGGCTGATATGCAAACTGGAAGGGGTCCAGGGAGCGGGGTGGGACAGACTTGATGTTTGGCATTACCAGCCGTTCGAAGCACTTCATGAGGATGGGAGTGAGTGCAACT